ATTATTTTGAGTCAGAATCTCGAAGTAAAACCTGTCGCCTAAGCTAGAATGCAATGGCACGATCACAGCCACTGCAACCTCTACCTGTTGGGCTCAGATGATCTTTCGGCCTCAGCCTTCCACTACAGGTGCACACCACCACACCCAGCTACATTTTTGACTTATTGTAGAGATGAGGTCTTGCCAAGTTGCCCAGGTTGTTCTCGAACCCCTGGGCTCAGGAAATCCTCTCACTTCTATCTCCCACTCTGCTGGGAATTCAGGCTTGAGCCGCCACACCCAGCCAGAAAGGCCTAAATTATATAGCCCTCTAACAAATGACTCCTGTAAGATAAAGTAGTATTTTTCACATTTTATTTTTGGTAATGAAGCACTGTAGTGAAGAAAAAATTTATTACATTCTTCTAATTTGCTGAGATTATTTAAATGATTATTTGCTTTATTGAGTTGTTCTTAAAGTCCCACTAGGTTTAACAAACAAACACAAGAAAAAGACGGCATTTTGTAAGAATGGCTTTAGCAGATGCTTTGTCTTCTAGGCAAGAATACCTGGCACTTGTTTTCCAGAAGGGCTGCTTGCTACATGTCGTATAGCACAGCAAACCTGTCCCTACCTGCATGGGCCCATCCCCAGGCCTGGCCACTCTTTGGCTCACTGCCCTCTTTGTGACCTGGGAGAGAAGGGGGCTGGAATGGTCAGAGACAGACTTCTCAAAGAACCCTTTCCAATGAGAAATGTGTCCCACAGATTATCACCTCTGTCTCAGGAACAGAAATACTGACGCAGTCACCCAGATTCCTAAAAATCAGCTCAAGAGCCGTGTGCAAGATTAGGACTCAAGTTTATACTTCTTGACTTCTGAGTCAGCAGGAATCTGTGTTTTTACTTTTTCTTTCCTTTTCTTTTTTTTTTTTTTTGAGTCTGGGTCTCACTCTGTCACCCAGGCTGGAGTACAGTGGTACGCTCACGGTCATTGCAGGCTCGACCTGCTGGGTTGAGGTGATCCTTCTGCTTCAGCCTTCCAAATAGCTGGAACTACAGATGCGTGCCACAATTCCTGGCTAATGTTTTGATTTATTGTAGAGACAAGGTCTTGCCATGTTGCCCAGGATAGTCTTGGAGTTGTGGGCTCAAACACTCCCAAAGTGCTGGGATTACAGGTGTAATCACCTGACTAGTGTTTTTACTTTCTAATGTTAGTTTTAAAGATTCATTTTAGAAATAAAACCAAATTCCAGTTAACAAGAAATCTATGCTAAAATGTCCTCGAAGCTATGATTTAAAGGCAAAGCACACGTCTCTACCTCTGAAAACAGGTCCTTAGTGGTTTAAAGACAAACCCAGTTCAACTTGCTATTTTCATGAATGTTAGCCAAGTAAAAAATGTTCAGAGAAGTTTCCAAGATATTCCTTAATTATGTTAATTACTAACTTGAAACAATAAATGCAATTGTTATTATTATTTTTTTTTTTTAGTTGGAGTCTCATTCTGTTGCCCAGACTGGAGTGCAGTGGCCACTCCCGGTCACCGCAGCCTCGACCTGCTGGGGTTTGGTGATCCTTCCGCCTCAGCCTTCCAAGTCGCTGGAATTACAGGCATGCACTACCATGGCCAGCTGATTTTTTGATTTATTGTAGAGATGAGGTCTCGCTGCCCAGGCGAGTCTCGAACCCGCAGGCTCAGGCATTCCACTCACCTCAGTCTCCCAAAGGCACGGGATTATAGGCTGAGCCACCAAGCTCAGTTTGTAATTGTTATTATTCAGCTGAAATTTCTTTAAATACATTCATGTTACTATCCACAATGTTACTGCTTCAAATTTTTAAGTGTCCTACTTCAGAATGAAATATTCAATGATAAGATTTTTCAGGTACTAAAGTCTGAGCTCAGTAATTAACAAGTAGATGCTAAGGAATAAGCAAGAGAAAGACTTGATTAAGAACTTCCCTGGCAGCCATTGAGAAATCACTTCACAATAAAATGACCATGTATTTACTAGATCAACTGAAAGATGATTATAGGATTGAGTGACCAATGACTAAGAGTCTCCATCAAATTAAATTCTTAGCAGCTAGAAATGGTTGCAAGTTATCATAAATTAGTATGGACAAAAAAGATGCATTCGTAAGTAGGATAACCAGTAAAGATAAAACCTAAGAGCTGAAATCAAACACCCTAAAATGCTGGATGCTGTCACTGTGTCCATGATTTGGGTACCAATGGCAAAGATAGGACAGAGAGTTCGATCCTATATTAAATTAATTCTACTAGGATCTGAAAAGTTACTTGTCAGGTTTTCTTTGAGCAGCATTTTTTACAACACGAACATAAATTATACCTAATGACAGCCTACATATATTATAAAATAGCATAAGCCCTTGTTACATTTCCCTTTAGGTGTTGCAGTGTGTCTAGAAATCCTAAGCTCTTTCCAAAGGTAATGCTTATGCTGTCATAGTATCTCAAAGGAATATTCTTACCTCATCTATTTCTAAAATTGGTTACCTTTGAGTGATGCCAAAAGGAAAAGAGAATACAAATTATGGGTTACTTGATTACCCTGAGTCATGATTCCTTCCTCTGGGTCTTGTCTGGAATTTTCCTCACCAGATCTTCTTTCATCTTGGTGGTTTCCGGTTAGGAACCCAAGGATGTCTCTGCTGCTAAATGCAATTTCCTCCAGGTCTATCGCTTACGAAAAAGAGTCATTCATTTCACTTGCTTACTTTGCCTCCCCCAGGACCCTGCACCACATCCCCTGCACCCAGTGGGTGACAGAAAAATGCCTCTGAGCAACAAGCAGAGTCTAAACAACAGCAAGAATTACAACTGAGCCCTGAAAGCGTAGCCATTCTCCATCAGAAGCGGGCCTGGCCAGATGCAGTGGCTCATGCCTGAAACCCTAGCACTTTGGAAGACTGAGGTGGGGGATTGCTTGAGACCAGGAGTTTGAGACCAGCCTAGGTGACAAGCGAGACCTCCTATCTACAAAAAAAAAAAATTTTTTTTCAAAAAATTAGCCAAGCATGGTGGCACACATCTGTAGTCCCAGTTACTTGGGAGGGTGAGATGGGAGGATCACTTGAGCCCAGGATTTGGAGGCAGCAGTCAGCTATGATTGCACCACTGAATTTCAGCCTGGGTGACAGAGTGAGACCCCTGACTCAAAGGAGAGACTTGAGCTGGAAACAGAACTGTGTCTTTCCTGAAATGCGTGTGTTTTGGGGGAAGGGATGGTATGTGCTTTTTGAATTTTCAGATACTATTGGATGTGTGTTTATACATTGGGGTGGGAATTTTCAGTAGATCCTGTGTCCCTCAGCTCACCCAAGGTCTCTGCATCCATGATGTGTGCCCTTGCTGGTCTTGGGTGTGAACACAGCTCTGGCTTTGGTGCTGTAGTAGTCATCCTGGTCTTCGGTGCTGTAGTAGTCATCCTGGTTCTCCACTTCCGAGAACTCCAAGAGCTGGATGCTGTGGGCCTGGAGGACAAAAGCCAAGCCCAGGAGCTACAGGAAAGGGAGAGCTCAGGATAGCATTGCTCTGTCTCTAAGGCCATTGCCTCCCGGGCTCTGTGTCCTATTCCCTACTGCCTCCGAATCATCCCTGCTCCTTCTTGATGTCCAGCCGCTCTCAGCTGGATTCTTCCCAATGGACACTGAAACCTGTGCATGCCCTTCCCTTCCCCTGGGTCCTGCTTCATGTCTCTCCTCTTCCTCACTATCCAACCTCCCAAGATGATATCTGCACTCTCTATCTCCATTCCTCAATCCATTCCCATCTGGCCCCTACCTCCGTCAAGCCACCCAAACAACTCTCACTAAGACCAGCCATGACCACAGCTCTATACACAACTTTTGTAACCTCTTGTGAATAGCCATCACAGTCGAGCACTCCCTGCCTCTTGACTTATTCTCTTCCCTAGCATTCAGGATTTCACATGCTCCTTGATCTCACCCACTTTCCAGCCATTTCTTCTCTGACGCCTTGGGGTGTATTTTTCTCTATCAGGTCATTAAATGGCGGTACACTCAAGCCCCAGTCCTAGGATCTCCTCATTTCCTCCTGTCATCCTTCCCTAGGGTGTGGCATGCCTTTCACAGCAGAGATGACCACCATTAGACCATCTGCTCCCCAAGTGATGTCTCCAATCCAGACTTCCTGTAGCTCCAGGCCCACATGTTCAATGATTGACTTGGCGTTTGCTTCCAGGCTTCTCAAAGGGCTCCTCAAATGTAACAATGATCAACTATGCAATTCCCCCCCACAATCCTAGGCCACCTCCAGCTCTTTTTACTAACCAGCACCACCCTCCATCCACTTCTGCTACCAAGACTCCTTCCTGACACCTCTCTCTTTCACACCCTACGCATCCAGTCTGTCACCAAGTCCTGTCGGCTTTCCTTCCTAGCTCTCAATTCGCTCCACTTTCTCCCATTTTCACTACCCTAGTCCAAGCTATTATCTTCCATGAGGACTTGTGTAGGAGCTGCTGCACTGGTCTAGCCTCTTCACTGGTCTGTCCACATCCCCACATCCTCTGGCTTGGGCTTTCCTGTCTCTCCATTTGACTCACTGCTGGAACAGGACCTTTTAGAAATGCAGCTCTGGCTGGGCATGGTGGCTCATGCCTGTAATCACAGCACTTTGGAAGGCAGAGGCAAGAGGATTGCCTGAACCCAGGAGTCTGAGACCACCCTGGGCAACTTGGTGAAACCTTGTCTCTGCAATAAATAAATAAATAAATATCCAGGTGTGGTGGTGCGTGCCCATAGTTCCAGCTACTTGGAAGGCTGAGGTGGAAGAATTGCCTGAGCGCAACAGGTCAAGGCTGTGGTAGCCTTCAGTGAGCCACTACACTCCAGTCTGGGTGACAGAGTGAGACCCCGAGACCCCAACTCAAAAAAAAAAAAAATGAAATGCAGTCCTGATTATATCGGAACTTTACTATTTCTAAAATGCTTCCCATTGGTTGCAGAATACAGCAGACCACCCTAGTAAAGCTTATACAATCCTCCCATTCCTGTCTCTTTGGTTGTCACAATTTAGGGGCAGGCACTCTTGGCATTTAGGGGGTGGAGGTCAGGGGTGCAGATAAATGTCTTATAATGGGCAGAGCAGCTTCATAAAACAATTAATTATCAGGCCCAAAATATCAATTGTGTCAAGGCTGAGAAACCCTGAGCTGGTGCCATTTGGCATCACTTCCTACCCAGCTTGCTGTGCCCCTGCTCCACTCCTATATTCTTTTGGTTTCTTATTGGTGTCATGCTCCCTCTGGCCACAGGTCCTTTGCACAGGCTGTCCCCACTCTGTGGAAGTCTCCCTCTACTCTTTACCTAATTATAGCCTATTCATCTTCCAACCTCAACTTAATCATTGTTTCCATAGAAACCACCCACCCCCCCTACAATACCTATCTCTCTTCAGAGGAACTTTACAATGTCACTGTTTTTACATTTATTTGGGTGATTTTTAAACAATATTTGTCTCACCCACTGGTTTATCAAGTACTATAAGGATAAAGAACATGTCTATTTTTAGTCATCATTATTCCCATTGCTTACACATAGTAGGTGCTTAGAAAATATCTGCTAAATACAAGAATGGGTGAATGGTTTTGGTGTTTCTGCACAAATGTTTCCTTTATCTATTTTTTATGATTTCCACTTGTACTTTTAACATATGCCAGTAAAAACCCTGTTTGGCTTTGTAGATTCTAATCTCATGTCACTACAGCCTAGTATATATGAGTACATTCTACATGGAGGTGAGACCACCTAGGCTGGAAAGTGGTTCTTGGAGGGCAAAAAAAATTATTCTTTTTCATATAAAGTACAGATATTCATACTGTACATAAATACATGGCATATCTCTGGTGTTAACATTTCTTTTCACCAGGTGGGTGGCTCATACCTATCATCCCAGCACTTTGGGAGGCAGAGGCCGAGGCAAGGAGTTCAAGAACAGCCTGGGCAACTTGGCAAGACTTTGCCTCTACAGTAAATAAAAAAATTAGTCTGGCATGGTGGTGCACACCTATAGTCCCAGCTACTTGAAAGACTGAAGTGGAAGGATTGGCTGAGTCCAGGAGGTTGAGGTTGCAGTAGTCATGAGTGTGCCACTGTGCTCCAGCCTGGGTGACAGAGTGAGACTTGACTCAAAAAAAAAAAATTCTTTGGAGGGGATGATTAGGGAAAGAAAGTCCAAAAAAGATATTTGTGGAGGGAAACCATAATATAAAAAGGTTGAAAAACATATTATATATGTATATTATGTATATAATATTATTAATATATTATATAACATTAATATTATATATACTTGTTTGTTGTAAAATACACATACCATAAAATTTGCCATCTTCACCATTTGAAAACATATAATTTAGTGACATTAAGTACATCAACGTTGTGCAACCATCATCACCATCCATCTCCAGAATTGTTTTTATCTTGCAAAACTGAAAATCTGTACTCACTAAACAAAATGCCCCAGGCCCCTGCTCTCGACCCACAGTGCCACCTTCTGTCTCTGTGAATGTGACTACTCCAGGTATCGAATATAAACATAATCATTCAGCATCTGTCCTTTTGCGACTGGCTTATTTCATTTAGCATAATGCCCTCAAGGTTCATTCATGCTACAACAGGTGTCAGAATTCCTTTCCTATTTCTTTCCTGTTTAAGGCTGAATTATATTCCATAGTCAGTCTATACCACAAGCTGTTTCATCTGTTGGTAGACATTTGTGTTGCTTTTGCCTTTTGGCTATTGTGAATAATGCCATGAGCATAGGTGTGCAAATATCACTTGAATCCCTGCTTTCAATGCTTTTAGGTGTATACTCAGAATTAGAATAGCTGGATCACATGGTAATTCTATTTTTAATCTTTTGAGGAACCTCTATACTGTTTTTCATAGTGGTTGTACCATTTTACATGTACCAACAGTACACAAGGGTCCCAGTTTTTTCATATCCCCACCAGCACTTGTTAGTTTCTGTTATACATATGTATACATATAATGTGTGTTTTTAAGAAAAACAATCCAATTTTCTTAGTTGTAATTCATGAGTTGTTTAAACTATGGAAACAGGGGCTCTTGATCTTTGGTCCCACATCTATTCATTCTTATAAAACTTTGCTAAGTGATCAGTTGTTGAAAGAAATCCCTTTATCTATAAATCTTGAGCAGTCACATCCTGACTCTCTGTAAACCTTTCCATGGGCCTGTGTAGACAGCATCTCCTATTGTACAGCTAGGGGAACCCCTCAGTCACCTTCACAAATAGGAAGGATTATCGCCCGCTTGGATGGTTCATTGCCAACATCAGAGAGGTGGACAGGGTACTTTCTGGATCCCTTCAGCCCTGTGATTCTATAATAGTTTTTATGTGCTGTTATGTTCTAGATTCTTAATCATTCAGGCAGAAACTTAGATATGTTTTAATAAGTAAAAACATGAACATTTCTAAATAACAGCTATGGTTCAAAATATTTCATCCAATGGCTATTTCATAGTTAAGCATTCCTCTAGCAGCTTGTTGTTTTTGTTTTGCCTTGCTTTTTTGCTACTCTTTAGTCATAAAACTTTTTAATAATTAGGAGCTTCCTTTGATTAGAACTCCAAAAGTGAACTGACCATTTTTTACAAAATGATTAATGCCAGCAGAAAACAGAAAAGATGCTGAGAAAATAACATGTTTCCTACAAAAATTAAATAGTTTTCTTAGATTTATAAATTACAGTGTTGGCGTCTATTGGCATCTAACTTTTGTTATATAAAATGAGCTCTCCTTTGAAGGGAAAAAAGGACAACTTAATGTGTTATACATTATCCACTTTACTGAAAAATACCTTTTCCAAAGTTGGTATACAGAAGAATTTAACAAGAGTTTCAGGAAATGGCAACTGAATTAAGTTTTTTTGTTGTTGTTGCTTGTTTTTTGTTTTGTTTTGTTTTGTTTTGTTTTGAATCAGGGTCTCACTCTGTCACCCAGTCTGGAATGCAATGCACGATCATGGTCCACTGTCTCCTCAACCTCCTGGACACAGGCAATCCTCCTGTCTCAGTCTCCTAAGTAGCTGGAACTACAGGCATGGGCCACTACACCTAGCTAATTTTTTTGTGTGTGGTAGATATGAGGTCTTGCTATGTTGTCTAAGCTGTACTCGAACTCCTGGGCTCAAGCAATCTCCTGCCTAAGCCTCCCTGTGTGCTGGGATTACAGGCATGAGCCTCTGCACCCAGCCTGGATTAAGTTCCGAAGCCGATGGAAAGCAATAGTATTGTCAAGATGCCTACTCTAAAGCCGTTGTCTATTGAAATGGTCATTTTTCCACTCTCCCCACCCATGCCCCATTGCTCAAACCCTTTATGTAGGCATAGATACTCCTTGTCTTTCTGCTGCCCTCTGCTCCCTTCCCCTCTCCACCTCTGTCTCTAATGTCACTTATGTCCACAGGAGATACACTTTAAAGACCAGATGACCAAATTGCTCCATGGACAGTTATGGTTCAGTCACTATGTTTCCTTAGTTCCTGTTTATATTTTTTCCATGGTCATGTGGAAGACCCTCCCTCTAAAGGTTTTGTGATCTAGGGAGTTGATCCTTCAATATGATCCTTGGAGGATTGCAGAAAGAAGAGGGTGATAATTATCTCCTTGGGTAACCAATAATATGATCGTTGGAATAATTCACGTTTTTAGGTTTGAAAATTAACTCATGCCAGGATAACACTTTACCAAATATAGTAACTACAGGAAAATAAATGGTCCATCATTCATTCTTCTCACCCTAGTGGCTTCTCCCATCACTTGTTTATGTGAATTTTAGGCCTTTTGGCAATATAGACAGAACTTCTCTGATTTTACCTTTTTTCTAAATCACCTTGCATTAATTTCAGATTATAATAGTTCAGTCTAAGAATCTCAAAAATCTGTTGGATGAATGACTCAATTCATTGGCTACAGTCTATTCAAACATTTATTTTATTTTATTTTATTTTTTTGAGTTGTAGTCTCATTCCATCGCCCAGGCTAGAGAGCAGGGACACGCACGCTCATAGCAAACCCAGCGTTGACCTGCTGGTCTCCAGCGATCCTTCCACCTCAGCCTTCCAAGTAGCCGGAATTACAGGTGCGACCTACCATGCCCAGCTGATTTTTGATATATTGTAGAGATGAGTTCTCACCAAGTTGCCCGGGCTGGTCTTGAACCCATGGGCTCAGGCAATCCACTTGCCTTGGCCTCCAAAAGTGCTAGGATTACAGACTGAATCACCAACCAGCCCGGCCTATTCAAACTTTTAAAAAGAAAACCAAAGATATCTTCTCCTTTACCTTTTCTCCTACTCTGTAAAATATAATATTATTATCATAGTGAATTATTCTGCAATGAACAGCATGATATACTTTGCAAATCACTTTCAGGCATGTGATCTCTTTGTTACCTCATAACCATTCTGTTATAGGCAGAACCTTTCTTTTATCAAATAAACTTTTATTACATAGCTACTATGTGAAAGATAACCACCAAGCTCTCTGCTTCCTTTTGCCACCTGAATATTCTGTAAGCGTTACAGACTTTCCATGCCCTGAACTGAGATCCTGACCTTCCCAAAATATCTGCTCCAGTCAAATCTCAGTTGATGGCAATTCTAAACTTCCAAATTCTTAGGTCAAAACTTTGGCATCAAATTTGACTTCTCTGCATGGAAATCACGCTAGTGTACCTTTAAGATTCCTTCTGGCTTCTGTAAAGAATGAATTTTTTTAATTAAAAAATATATATGCAGGATCTGACCATTTCTCACCATGTCTTCTCAGACACAATGTCTCTGGTTTGATTAACATGAAAATCTCCTAAGTAGTCTCCTTGCTCAGCCCCAGAGCACCTTTGGTCTATTCCCAATAAAGCAGCATGAGTGTTAAAGGTAAGTCAAGTCATACCACTCCTGCTCAGAGCTCTCCAAGGGCTGCCCTTCTCACTCAGCATCAAGGCCAAAGTCCTGACAGTGGTTCACAGACCCTACATAACCTCCCCCCAACTTTATAATCTCAAGCTTACTACTATCCCCTTCATTCACTCTAACCACACCGAACTCTGTTTGTTTGTTTGTTTGTTTTGAGTTGGAGTCTCACTCTGTCACCCAGGCTGGAGTGCAATGGCATGCTAATGGCCACCACAGCCTCGACCTGCTCAGGCGATCCTTCTACCTCAGCCTTCCAAGTAGCTGGAACCATAGGCATGCGCCACCATGTCCAGCTAATTTTTTGATTTATTGTAGAGACGAGGTCTTGCCATGTTGCCCAGGCTGGTCTTGAATCCCTAGGCTCAGGCCATCCTCTCACCTCCTCCCCCCAGAGTGCTGGGATTACCAGCTTGAGCCAATGTACCTGGTCACACTGAACTCTTAGTTATTCCTGCAACACTGCTGGTCGTGGTCTTGCCTCAGGGCTTTTGCACTGGTTGTTCTTTCTGTCTGGTACTCTTCTCCTAGTCAGTCATGTAATTTGCCTCCCAATTTTCTTCAGGTCTTTACTCTTGGTAAAACCTGAACCTTCTTGGTAAGGCCTTCACTGTCCCCCTACTTACAACAGCAACATCCATCACCAACCTCCAGAACTCTCTATCCTCTTTCCTACTAACTTTTTTCCACAGCTCCTATCATGATCTTTACTAGTCCACAAAGGCTAGATTACTCTGTGATAACTCCAAAGCTCAGTGACCTAACACTCCAAATGGATTTCTCATTCATGCAGAGACCACTGCAGAACCAACTGCTTTCTAGGCAGTTATCTTCCAGCAAGTGACTCAGGGATCCAGGATGCTCCCATCTTGTGGTTTGACCATCACCACATGTGCCTTCCACTGGCTGCATCAGGGAAACAGAAATAGAAAGCCATGGGCCAGCTCCTAAACGCTTTGGGCTGGAAGTGACACATGTCATTTCTGCTCACAGCCCACTAGCCAAGCTAGTCACAAGTCCCCATTCCCATGCAGGGGGCTAGAAAGTCCGGAGAAGCTTTGGTACCAAATCACCAGATATTTAATATGTGTTATTTATTTATTTAGTGTCTGCCTTTCCCCATGAAATAAGTCCCATGATGGTAGGAATTGTGCCTGTTTTGTTCATTGCTGAATTTCCAGCGCCCAGCATAGTAACTAACAAATTTACCGGTCAGAATATTTGTGGAAGGAATGAATGAATAACTGAATGATAGGGTCACACCCTGTGGGAGCAGATGAGCCAACAGTCAAGTGCAACAGTGTGCTGAATGCTGTAGCAGAGGTAGGCAAGTCATGGTGAAAGCACTTAGCTCTGCACAGAGGTGTCAAGGAAGGCTTCTCAGAGAGGTGATATTTGAGTAGACTCTGGAATAAAAGTAGACATTTACCTAGGAAAGAAGAGGTGAGGGACAGAGGGGCCAAGAGGCATGAACAGCCCTGCTGATCCAGGGGGAGGTTTAGGCCCAGCTTCCTAAGGCTAGAAACACAGGGACAGAGGAGAGAAATGAGGCCTGAGAGGTTAGCAGGGCCAAATTGTGCCCGAAGTTGTAAATGTCACCAGGGAGCCTGGACATTATCCTCTGAGAAACAGGAAACTCGTGAAAAACTTCAAGCTAGGGAATGAGTGTGATTAGATTTGGGCAAAATCTAATGTACAAAGCAAGGAAGAGAGTCTTTCTATTTAAAATCCTTCTCTAGGGGGTCAGGCTCAGTGGCTCTCATCTGTCATCCCAGCACACTGGGAGGCAGAAGCAAGAGGATCACTTGAGCCCAGGAGTTCGAGATCAGCCTGGGAAACAGAAAGAGATCTTGTCTCTACAAACAAACGAACAAACAAAAAATAGGTGGGCATAGGGACACACACCTGTAGTCCCAACTACTCAGGAGGCTGAGGCAGGAGGATTACCTGAGCCCAGGGGTTCAAGGCTGTGGTGAGCCATGATTGTGCCACTGCACTGCAGTCTGGGGACAGAGTGAGACTCTGACTTTAAAAAATAAAAATAAAATAAGATAATTCATTTTTCCACCGACCTTGGAATGCGCCCCACCTCCTAAGGAGAGTCTGGCTTTTCCTGGTTTGGCCCTCTCTGCAGCCCCATTTCCCACCTCTGCTACCTCAAGTTCTAGCAGGTCCTGAACATACTGCAGGGTATCAGGCCTCCACACCTGAGGAGACATGCTCAAGGACACACAGCAGGAAAAGCTACTGCCTTTCAGCCCGGGGCTCTTTCCAGTCTGCCCTAGGCCTCTAAGTAGGCTCATACAGTGGCAAAGTGTCCAAGACAGATGGCCAGTGCTTTCTTTTTCTGTTATTGTTGTTGAGTGAATGTCTCTTAATACCAATGGGTGGAGTACAGTGCAAAGCTCATGCAGTCTTTGACTCGACCCCGAAATGAATTTCAGAGCAACCAGCAAAGTTCTCAAACAAAGTTTATTAGTGAGAAGAAGAAGGAAAAAAGAAGAAAATGCCAGAAAGACCTGACATGGACAAGTCTCTTGAAAAGAAAGACCTTTTGCTCTCAACTAAAAGCTAGATACAGTCCCCTAGTTGCTGATATGCTAATGAGAGTGGAGCACAGATAGCCACTGCCCTGATGGAAGAGGGGTCTTACCATCATTTCTTTGGGTTTGACCGGTTAAGGGGTGGGGTTGAGTCTTCCACCTTCAACAGGGAACCTGAAAGGTTTTTAATGCTTATTATGCTAAACCATGAGCTGAACTGTTGGGCTATCATATTCTTACATCTGATAAGATTTTCTTTTGGTTGGTTGAGGGGATGGGTAAACTAGTTCACATTCCAACCTGGTCTGCAGTAAAGATGTCATAAGGAAAATGTCCGAACACTTCCTAAAACCTACCTGCAAGAAATTTATCTACCTACACCTAACCAGTACTAAATACCCAGCTTCAATACTAGCTCAAGGCTTTTCTCAGGGATCAAACATCCTGGGCCAGGGAAAGGGACCAGGGAAGGGGTCTCCACTTGCAGAGTTTCTCCAATGTCTGGAAAGCCCAGTGGTCTTCCAGCAGCCTCTGCCCTGGGCCTGGCAAGGTCAACCCAACAGATTAGCATCTGTGCCTCCCACCCCCAACACTGGAAATAATCATACCACCCAGGGCTGGATATTCTTGTATAAATACTGGCAAGAGCACATCCATGGTTTTTTGTTTTTTGGTTTTTTGTGTATGTGTCCAGGTCTTACTCTGTGACCCAGGCTGGAGTACAGTGGCACAATCACAGTTCACCACAGCCTCCACCTCCTGGGCTTAGGTGATCCTTCAGCCAAGCTATCCAAGTAGCTTGCACTTACAGGCATGCGCCACAATATTCAGTTAATTTTTACAATTTTTTTGTAGAGATGAGGTCTCGCTATGTTGTCCAGGCTGGTCTTGAACTCCTGGGCTCAAGCAATCCTCCCACCTCAGCCTCTCAAAGTGCTGGGATTACAGGGATGAGCCACTATCCCTGGCCCCACATGGTCCTTTTAAAGCCTCTGACAAGAGGCTACTTGCTTACACTGAAGTAATAGCAGCTGCAAGTTTTTAAGTGATAGTGTTCCTATCACTTATGAGAACACAGGAAAGAAAAATCGTATGACCCCTACAGTCCATGGGGTGGAAGAATATTTCTCCCCCCTCTCTTTCTTTATTTCTATCCTCCATGCCACCCCAGAACAAACAACTGGGAGAGAGCTCTTTGGTAAGAAAAACTTAAAAATATATCTGTTAGCATAATAACATACTACAGCTGTGGCAGGATCAATATTAGCAAGAGAAAGATATATTTGTTTTATGGGTGTGTTTGTTTTAAAAGTATTTTAACCCTCCTCTCTGGCTCCACTAAGGGGCAAAGTAACCGGGCTTGATGAGCTCCGATCAAGTGGGGAGCGGAATAGGATACAGGAAGATTTCAGAGGTCTGTGTGTGGTGAGGCAGTAGAAACAGGAAGTGCTTGCTGGAAAGGGGGCCTCAGAGGAGGATGTCCTGGATGCTGAGTGAGGGTGGCCTCTGTGTGACTTGGTTGAAAAAGAAGAAAATATTTCTCAGTATCTAGAGCTGAACTGTTTGTTGTTGTTGTTGTTGTTGCTGTTGCTGTTGTTGTTTTTGAGTTGGAGTCTCACTCCGTTACCCAGGCTAGACTGCAGTGGCACGCTCACGGCCACCCCAGAGTCAACCTGCTAGGCTCTGATGATCCTTCTGCCTCAGCCTTCCAAGTAGCTGGAACCACAGGCACGTGCTACCATATCCGGCTAATTTTTTGATTTCTTGTAGAGACGAGGTTTCACCATGTTGTCCAAGCTAGTCTTGAACCTGCAGGTTCAGGAAATCCACTCACCTCGGCTTCCCTAAGTGCTGGGATTACAGGCTGAGCCACTGAGCCCAGGGTG